TGAGGGTCCCAGAGGTGCCTCAGGGGTCCCAGAGATGCTGCCAGGGAGGGGTTTGGGTACCCTGAGGGTCCCAGAGTTGCTGTCAAGGGGAGGGTCTGGGTGCCCCAAGGGTCCCAGAGGTGCCTCAGGGGTCCCAAAGGTGCTGCCAGGGGGGGTCTGGGCACCCTGAGGGTCGCAAAGATGATGTCAAGGAGGGGTTCTGGGTACCCTGAGGATCCTGGAGGTACCTCAGAGGTCCCAAAGTCGATGCCAAGGAGGGGTTTGGGCACCCTGAGGGTCCCAGAGGTGCCTCAGGGGTCCCAAAGGTGCTGCCAAGGAGGGGTTCTGGGTACCCTGAGGATCCTGGAGGTACCTCAGAGGTCCCAAAGTCGATGCCAAGGAGGGGTTTGGGCACCCTGAGGGTCCCAGAGGTGCCTCAGGGGTCCCAAAGGTGCTGCCAAGGAGGGGTTCTGGGTACCCTGAGGATCCTGGAGGTACCTCAGAGGTCCCAAAGTCGATGCCAAGGAGGGGTTTGGGCACCCTGAGGGTCCCAGAGGTGCCTCAGGGGTCCCAGAGATGCTGCCAGGGAGGGGTTTGGGTACCCTGAGGGTCCCAGAGTTGCTGTCAAGGGGAGGGTCTGGGTGCCCCAAGGGTCCCAGAGGTGCCTCAGGGGTCCCAAAGGTGCTGCCAGGGGGGGTCTGGGCACCCTGAGGGTCGCAAAGATGATGTCAAGGAGGGGTTCTGGGTACCCTGAGGATCCTGGAGGTACCTCAGAGGTCCCAAAGTCGATGCCAAGGAGGGGTTTGGGCACCCTGAGGGTCCCAGAGGTGCCTCAGGGGTCCCAAAGGTGCTGCCAAGGAGGGGTTCTGGGTACCCTGAGGATCCTGGAGGTACCTCAGAGGTCCCAAAGTCGATGCCAAGGAGGGGTTTGGGCACCCTGAGGGTCCCAGAGGTGCCTCAGGGGTCCCAAAGGTGCTGCCAAGGAGGGGTTCTGGGTACCCTGAGGATCCTGGAGGTACCTCAGAGGTCCCAAAGTCGATGCCAAGGAGGGGTTTGGGCACCCTGAGGGTCCCAGAGGTGCCTCAGGGGTCCCAGAGATGCTGCCAGGGAGGGGTTTGGGTACCCTGAGGGTCCCAGAGTTGCTGTCAAGGGGAGGGTCTGGGTGCCCCAAGGGTCCCAGAGGTGCCTCAGGGGTCCCAAAGGTGCTGCCAGGGGGGGTCTGGGCACCCTGAGGGTCGCAAAGATGATGTCAAGGAGGGGTTCTGGGTACCCTGAGGATCCTGGAGGTACCTCAGAGGTCCCAAAGTCGATGCCAAGGAGGGGTTTGGGCACCCTGAGGGTCCCAGAGGTGCCTCAGGGGTCCCAAAGGTGCTGCCAAGGAGGGGTTCTGGGTACCCTGAGGATCCTGGAGGTACCTCAGAGGTCCCAAAGTCGATGCCAAGGAGGGGTTTGGGCACCCTGAGGGTCCCAGAGGTGCCTCAGGGGTCCCAAAGGTGCTGCCAAGGAGGGGTTCTGGGTACCCTGAGGATCCTGGAGGTACCTCAGAGGTCCCAAAGTCGATGCCAAGGAGGGGTTTGGGCACCCTGAGGGTCCCAGAGGTGCCTCAGGGGTCCCAGAGATGCTGCCAGGGAGGGGTTTGGGTACCCTGAGGGTCCCAGAGTTGCTGTCAAGGGGAGGGTCTGGGTGCCCCAAGGGTCCCAGAGGTGCCTCAGGGGTCCCAAAGGTGCTGCCAGGGGGGGTCTGGGCACCCTGAGGGTCGCAAAGATGATGTCAAGGAGGGGTTCTGGGTACCCTGAGGATCCTGGAGGTACCTCAGAGGTCCCAAAGTCGATGCCAAGGAGGGGTTTGGGCACCCTGAGGGTCCCAGAGGTGCCTCAGGGGTCCCAAAGGTGCTGCCAAGGAGGGGTTCTGGGTACCCTGAGGATCCTGGAGGTACCTCAGAGGTCCCAAAGTCGATGCCAAGGAGGGGTTTGGGCACCCTGAGGGTCCCAGAGGTGCCTCAGGGGTCCCAAAGGTGCTGCCAAGGAGGGGTTCTGGGTACCCTGAGGATCCTGGAGGTACCTCAGAGGTCCCAAAGTCGATGCCAAGGAGGGGTTTGGGCACCCTGAGGGTCCCAGAGGTGCCTCAGGGGTCCCAGAGATGCTGCCAGGGAGGGGTTTGGGTACCCTGAGGGTCCCAGAGTTGCTGTCAAGGGGAGGGTCTGGGTGCCCCAAGGGTCCCAGAGGTGCCTCAGGGGTCCCAAAGGTGCTGCCAGGGGGGGTCTGGGCACCCTGAGGGTCGCAAAGATGATGTCAAGGAGGGGTTCTGGGTACCCTGAGGATCCTGGAGGTACCTCAGAGGTCCCAAAGTCGATGCCAAGGAGGGGTTTGGGCACCCTGAGGGTCCCAGAGGTGCCTCAGGGGTCCCAAAGGTGCTGCCAAGGAGGGGTTCTGGGTACCCTGAGGATCCTGGAGGTACCTCAGAGGTCCCAAAGTCGATGCCAAGGAGGGGTTTGGGCACCCTGAGGGTCCCAGAGGTGCCTCAGGGGTCCCAAAGGTGCTGCCAAGGAGGGGTTCTGGGTACCCTGAGGATCCTGGAGGTACCTCAGAGGTCCCAAAGTCGATGCCAAGGAGGGGTTTGGGCACCCTGAGGGTCCCAGAGGTGCCTCAGGGGTCCCAGAGATGCTGCCAGGGAGGGGTTTGGGTACCCTGAGGGTCCCAGAGTTGCTGTCAAGGGGAGGGTCTGGGTGCCCCAAGGGTCCCAGAGGTGCCTCAGGGGTCCCAAAGGTGCTGCCAGGGGGGGTCTGGGCACCCTGAGGGTCGCAAAGATGATGTCAAGGAGGGGTTCTGGGTACCCTGAGGATCCTGGAGGTACCTCAGAGGTCCCAAAGTCGATGCCAAGGAGGGGTTTGGGCACCCTGAGGGTCCCAGAGGTGCCTCAGGGGTCCCAAAGGTGCTGCCAAGGAGGGGTTCTGGGTACCCTGAGGATCCTGGAGGTACCTCAGAGGTCCCAAAGTCGATGCCAAGGAGGGGTTTGGGCACCCTGAGGGTCCCAGAGGTGCCTCAGGGGTCCCAAAGGTGCTGCCAAGGAGGGGTTCTGGGTACCCTGAGGATCCTGGAGGTACCTCAGAGGTCCCAAAGTCGATGCCAAGGAGGGGTTTGGGCACCCTGAGGGTCCCAGAGGTGCCTCAGGGGTCCCAGAGATGCTGCCAGGGAGGGGTTTGGGTACCCTGAGGGTCCCAGAGTTGCTGTCAAGGGGAGGGTCTGGGTGCCCCAAGGGTCCCAGAGGTGCCTCAGGGGTCCCAAAGGTGCTGCCAGGGGGGGTCTGGGCACCCTGAGGGTCGCAAAGATGATGTCAAGGAGGGGTTCTGGGTACCCTGAGGATCCTGGAGGTACCTCAGAGGTCCCAAAGTCGATGCCAAGGAGGGGTTTGGGCACCCTGAGGGTCCCAGAGGTGCCTCAGGGGTCCCAAAGGTGCTGCCAAGGAGGGGTTCTGGGTACCCTGAGGATCCTGGAGGTACCTCAGAGGTCCCAAAGTCGATGCCAAGGAGGGGTTTGGGCACCCTGAGGGTCCCAGAGGTGCCTCAGGGGTCCCAAAGGTGCTGCCAAGGAGGGGTTCTGGGTACCCTGAGGATCCTGGAGGTACCTCAGAGGTCCCAAAGTCGATGCCAAGGAGGGGTTTGGGCACCCTGAGGGTCCCAGAGGTGCCTCAGGGGTCCCAGAGATGCTGCCAGGGAGGGGTTTGGGTACCCTGAGGGTCCCAGAGTTGCTGTCAAGGGGAGGGTCTGGGTGCCCCAAGGGTCCCAGAGGTGCCTCAGGGGTCCCAAAGGTGCTGCCAGGGGGGGTCTGGGCACCCTGAGGGTCGCAAAGATGATGTCAAGGAGGGGTTCTGGGTACCCTGAGGATCCTGGAGGTACCTCAGAGGTCCCAAAGTCGATGCCAAGGAGGGGTTTGGGCACCCTGAGGGTCCCAGAGGTGCCTCAGGGGTCCCAAAGGTGCTGCCAAGGAGGGGTTCTGGGTACCCTGAGGATCCTGGAGGTACCTCAGAGGTCCCAAAGTCGATGCCAAGGAGGGGTTTGGGCACCCTGAGGGTCCCAGAGGTGCCTCAGGGGTCCCAAAGGTGCTGCCAAGGAGGGGTTCTGGGTACCCTGAGGATCCTGGAGGTACCTCAGAGGTCCCAAAGTCGATGCCAAGGAGGGGTTTGGGCACCCTGAGGGTCCCAGAGGTGCCTCAGGGGTCCCAGAGATGCTGCCAGGGAGGGGTTTGGGTACCCTGAGGGTCCCAGAGTTGTGGTCCTTGGAGATACTGCTGAGGGGTCCAGGTGCTCTGGGGGTCTCAGTGCTGCTGACATGGGGGGGGTCTGGGTACGCTGAGGGTCCTGGAGATACCTCAGGGGTCCCAAAGGTGCTGCCAGGGAGGGGTTGGGATACCCTGAGGGTCCCAAAGTTGCTGCCAAGGTGGGGTTCTGGGTGCCCTGAGGGTCCCAGAGGTGCCTCAGGGGTCCCAGAGATGCTGCCAGGGAGGGGTTTGGGTACCCTGAGGGTCCCAGAGTTGCTGTCAAGGGGAGGGTCTGGGTGCCCCAAGGGTCCCAGAGGTGCCTCAGGGGTCCCAAAGGTGCTGCCAGGGGGGGTCTGGGCACCCTGAGGGTCGCAAAGATGATGCCAAGGAGGGGTTCTGGGTACCCTGAGGATCCTGGAGGTACCTCAGAGGTCCCAAAGTCGATGCCAAGGAGGGGTTTGGGCACCCTGAGGGTCCCAGAGGTGCCTCAGGGGTCCCAAAGGTGCTGCCAGGGAGGGGTTGGGATACCCTGAGGGTCCCAAAGATGATGCCAAGGTGGGGTTCTGGGTACCCTGAGGGTCCCAGAGCTGCTGCCAGGGGAGGGTCTGGGCACCCTGAGGGTCCCGAAGCTGCTGCCAGGGGGTCCTGGTGCCTCCAGTCTGATCCTTTAAGCCCCCCCAAACCCCAAGGTCTCCCCGGCCAGCCCTGCAGCCCCCCCGGGCGTGTCCCCCCCCACGTCCCCAGGGTGACACCGATGTCCCCCAGGTGAGAAGATGACCGAGGAGGAGGTGGAGCAGCTGGTGGCCGGCCACGAGGACAGCAACGGCTGCATCAACTACGAAGGTGAGGCCTGGGGGTCCCGAGGGGGGTCCCGGGGGGTCCTGGGGGGGGTCCCGGGGGGGTCACCCGCGGTCCCACTCCCTCCCTGACCATCATGTCTCGTTCCTTCCCCCCAGCCTTTGTGAGACACATCTTGTCAGGGTGACGCCGCAGGGGTAACGCCTCCCCCCGCCCCCTCCTCAAATTACTTCATTTGGTTTTTTTTTTTTAATCTCATTCCTTCCTTTTTTTTCTTGCCCTGGTGTCTTTTTTTTTTTTTTTTATTTACCA